AAGATATCTCTTCTAAGTCTTGCAACAGTATCCGGTCATGTGACCTTTTTGTTTCATACTGTATATATATATATATATATCTATGTCAGTGTAATCTACTATCCAGTCAAAGAAAACAGGTCCACCCTTCACGTTCATGAAAGTTGTCACAACTTCCAAAACAATAGCAGATTTCATCCTCACCCACGGTTCCTACCTTGATTATCATCACTTTAAGGCAGAAAAACCTTACCGTAAACCTCACCCACCCCATACCTTTCCTAACCCAACCCCAAACCCATGTTTCTCAACACCCTAAAGAAAACCACCGCCAATCAGTACTGTACCGCCCATCCTATTACAACAGACCAAGCTACTCAAACCTCACCCACCTCTGAATCTCAAGACATGTCAACCCAAACTACCACTACTAGGAGGAAAAAAGGCACCCAGACCCAGCCTCAAGTCTGCACAGTTACCAACGACGTCTATCAAAATACCAATAACCCGCCTCCCAGCCCCAAGCCACTTTCCACATCATCGTCGTCAATCTCCCCGAACGCCTTAGTAATCGACACCTCCCCCGATCTCTACCTACCTGACGAACCTTTCTGTGCCATCCGTCCACTCTACACCGACACCGAGGGCCTTTACCACCTGCCTGGAATCGGAAACTGTTCCACAATAAAACCATGGCGAACATCAGGAGACTCCACAACTCATTCAAAAGCTAATCTACCCCCTGCACTGGACTTCACTTTGCCTTCCCTACTTACTTCTTCTCGTTAACCGGGCACTGGTAACGGATTGGTCGTTACCAGTGAAAGTGGGTTTTCTCGGGGTAATCCCGTTCCCCCCCCCCCCACATTAAATTCTCGGCATAGGATTTTTAGATCCCCGCCGCCCTGATGGACCATCAGTCCGATATCGGCAGTTGAGTTTAGTTTAGTCTACTTTGTTCTTCACTTTTTATTTTACCGTTACTCTCACGTTTACCTTTTTCAATTTACATACCTCGTCTGCATTAATTTCCTGTTTTCTCAAGTTAAGCCCATATTCCTAGGCCACATGCGGGGTGAAGGACGGTTGTTTAATCTTCGAGCACCCTAGATTAGTAATTAGTTCTTCGGAACTAATTATTTTTAAATCTAAATAACTGCCAGAAATAACACAATCTACTTGTACCTGATGATGACAAATCCTTGTCGAAGTTTTTCTTCATTACCTATTCAAGCTGTCTCCAAGCATTTTTGGGTGGTTTGGTTTTGGTATTGTACTTGGTATTTAAGGAGTTATGAGCATGCTTGTCTAGCAAGACTTGGGAGTATCTATTTTGTTTGACTACGTTGTGTAAGAACTTGGTGTTTAAGAAGTTACGTGTGAATTTTCATAGCAAAGTTTAAGAATATCCATTTTGTTTGAGTACGTTGTGTAAAACTTGGTGTTTAAGAAGTTACGTGTGAATTTTCATAGCAAGGTTTAAGAATGTCCATTTTGTTTCAGTGGGTTGTGTAAAAACTTGGTGTTTAAGAAGTTACGTGTGACTTTATCTATCAAGATTTTAGAGTATCGATTTTATTTCAGTTATATAAGAGCTAAGTGTTTAATTAATTACATGCGAGTTTTTTTAGCGAGTATATTCATTTTGTTTCTAGATGTTGTGTAAAAACTTGGTGTTTAAGAAGTTACTTGTAAATTTTTCTATCAAGATTTGGGGATCCATTTTGTTTCAGTATACTGTGTAAGAACTTGATGCTTAACACGCTACGTGCGAGTTTTGGGGTTATCCATTTTGCTTCAGGATGTCGTGTAAGAAGTTTATATCGGTAGGTAGAGTTTCGCAGTTCGATCATGTTTGTTTGCTCTATTGATAAGACAAAAATAATGCTTTGTTTGTAATGGAAGGAAATATCAATAAACCTTTCTAAGATTTCCTGTTGCTGAGACATCTAGAAAAGGTAGAATTTGGTTATTTTCTAGTTCACAGGTGTATTGTATATTCCGGTACCGTGAGTTTAAATAAGATAAAAATCGGAAACGTATTATTTCGATCGAAAAATAAGGACGGTATGATTAACATACTGTAAAGGGCATGTCCGAAACTAGCGTGGCAGTATGTTAGACACGAGAGTTCGTGAAAACAATGAAAGAAGTTGGAGAATTTAGGGCCCAAGGTGAACCCGTTGTAAGTCACCTGTTTGGTCATACAGTTTACCGAAATGGTTGTTTTTAGCGGGGGTATTACGTTGATATAACTGAATTGGTTGTTTTTCGTTGTTTTTTTTTAGCGAGGGTATTACGTTGATATAACTGTGATTTGCTAAGACAGTTTGCGAGTTTACAATCCTTTGAGAAAAGTTGTGTAAGATAAACGTTGGTAGTTTCCTTAATTAAGAGGTAGGTTAGTAAAAAGGGAGGTAACATCAAATGTCGACATTTTCTGAGAATGCAAGTTATTGATTTCTTGGGAAAATAAAACAAGTTTTTAATGGTGAAAGAGATGGTTGTTATTGGACTTAAAATAGTCACGAAAACGTAGATAAATTGTAAGCATAAAAAACAATCATGGGACGTAACGGTAGGTTAGTTTTCTGAACCTTAGGTAAAACACAATGACGTTGGTGCAGGATCCAGAAGGGATCGTGGTCAAAGATTGGGGAAGAAATTATGTTTTGTTTTCCAGGTTTCAAAGGCAGCGTTGAATTTTCTATTCACCTTGTAGAGTAAGTGGAAGAGAGTTACAGTTCAATGGTAGAGTAAATGGAAGAGAGTTACGGTTCAATGGTAGAGTAGGTGGAAGAGAGCTACAGTTCAATATGATAAATTTACTTTAATAGTCCAGTAGATAATCCACCTTGGAGATGTAGTCCGTTTTGTAAGGGCAAGTTACAGTAATGTTTACAGTATTATTTCCTATATCAGGACGAGTAATTATAATGCTTGCGATACTATTATCTTTGTTAGGACGGGTAATTTAAT